TATTTGATAAAGTCAAAGCTTTGACAAAAATTGAACTGGGTTTGTATGTGTTGGAAATACCTCTGCCCTATTTCTTTTATTTGAAGCTTTATTTATAGAGATAGTTAAGATCTGTTGCCCCCAAATCATTATATGACAAATAGTATTACAGTACTAATTCTGGTAGTCTGTCATCACTGTCTTTATGACTATCAATATTCTTTCATATATAGATTACTCCAAAGTTTATTTTTTCTATAGAAAGTTTATGTGAACATTGTAAGGTTAGATGATGGAGTGGTAAATGCTTCTGATTCCTGGCTACATTAGCACACCTACCATTGTCTGTCCTATTCATTTAAAGGGGAAACCATCAAGTAAGAATAATACTGTTGCAGAAGTAAAAGGATACAACTTGCTTAATTATTTAGCACTCTCATGAATTTGTAAATGATGTGGAATGATCTCGTTCTAATTCCTGTTATTATAATGTCTGGGGTTGTTGCATTTCAATGTTAAAACAGATTAATATATTATTGGGTGCTTTATTTTCATAATATGAGGACATCTTACAGAATGTGAATTTATATTTACTAATATGGTTACTATCTTCCCAATAGCTGTGTCTTTACATTTTCATATATATTTATCTATTGAAATGATAAAGCCACCCAATTAATGATGGTTCTAGGGGTCATGCAAATTAAAAACACTTAAAAATCAACAAAAAGTAAAAAAAAAATGGTTACAGCCAAGGGGAATTGACAAACCCCAACAACATTTACATTGTTGTGTAAGTGTATCCATTCAGGTGGATACACATTCCACCTATCTTCAAGACTTGTTTAAAGCACAGCGGGGTAAAGGCTATTTAAACCCTGGGGTGCGGGGATACTTTTTCAAAGGGCAGGTAGTGTAACAGATAAGGCATCCCTTCAAACCCCATCAGATAGCATTGCTTAATAGATAGGAATTGGAACATGTTATTTTGTAAGAACTTAGAAGATGGACAGAAACAATAGCAGAAAAATTCTCCATCAGACAGTCAACCCATGGCATGAAGAGCTTTGTAGGTGACATCAAGTCCCTTGAAACACACCCAGGATTTCTTTGGTAACCAGTGCAGATTGTGAATGGGAGGTGATCACATGATTGTAGCTCCTTATGATGTAATAGCAAGCTGGACACCTGAAAGCCTGGATTGTGATTAGTGCTGCAGTGGCTGGAACTTCAGAAACTGATCATATGTTCATTTTTTTCAGTGAACCATAACTTTGAATGGACACTGAATGAATGGACATAATTTGAGGACTGCCTGTATTCTGAAGTAGTTTATTTATTTATTTTATTTATTTTTATTTATTTATTAATTGCATTTATATCCCGCCCTTCTCCTTACGGACTCAGGGCGGCTGACAATTGAATAAAATACTAACATATATACATATACTTAATTAAAATTTGATTAAAACGAAATATTTAAATATGTCCAATTTAAAAGTAATTAAAACCCCCTTTAAAATCCCTCAGGCCA